ATAGTAGAAGATAGGAAAGGCAGCAGAATACAACAGACACTAGTATAGCAATAAGTAAAACAGTGGATGTGTAACCGATGTGATGCTGCAATCTGTATACGGGGTAAAAATGGGAGTTCATAACCCACTTGAATCAAAGTGTGAAATATGATATGTCAAGAACTATGTAATGTTTTGAACAACCAACAATAAAAATTAAAGAAAAAAAATACTTTAACCTTTATTTATTTTTCATCAGTAAATACTTTTACTGATGAAAAATAAATAAATGTGTGTGTGTGTGTCGGCATGTGTATCTGTGTGCGTGCACATACACATGAGCGTGTATCTTCCTCTGGGACTTACTTTTGTCCTTTTTTCCCTCCAAGTAATAGGGCTTGAAACCAGGACTTGGCCAAGCAAGAGGTCTACTACTTGCATCTCCAGCTCTTTTTTATGTTTTATTTTGAGATAGGGTCTTTCTATTTTCGTCCTATCCTTTTTTGGGGGGGTACTTTTAACTTAGTATTTCTACTTCGGTATTTGGATAAATGAAAACATTTTGAATGTAGTTATTAACTCCTAAAATATCTCAATATTCTTTTTAAAAATCCATGCATTAGTAAAACTGTTTAATCCAACAGCAAATATAGTATATTCTCATTTTATCTGAAATATTTGGGGAAATAATAGCTACATTTATTGAGTATTCCCAATGTACTAGAAGAAAGTCATCTCATTTAGTCTCACAAAAACTAGTGGTATTATAATTTCATATCTTGACTGGAGGTGTAGCTCAGTGGCAGAACATGTTCTCAGCATGCACAAAACACTGAGTTCAATCCCTGCATGGAGGAAAGAAAAAAATCAAAGAGAGAAAGAGAAAGATTTTATTTTATATCTGAAGAGATAAACTTAGAAAAACTGATAACTTAAGGTAACACCATCAGAAATAGCAGACTGGAGCTTAAACACAGATCTACCTAAATCCAAAACCCACACTCTTCATTGCCATGCTATATATTCCTGCCTTAACATGCAGATTATATTAAGCTTTTCCCAACTAATGGATTTGTTGATAGCATTACCTCAGGTTAAATATCACATCTCAGGATATAAAAGTCAATATGAATGCAAAAGGTAGAGGACAATGAGCTCCACAGACCATAGATAGTTACAGGGTTTAGAATCCAATCACTAGACAGGCCAAGACAACCCTGGTATTCATAATGCTCCATAAGACTAGGTTCAATAGCCACCTTTTCATCTTATTTCTTGTTCAGAAACTAAAACAGAACTACTGTTGCTGGAACTGCAGGAATATAAGACTATAGGATTACATCATTAGAAATAATCTCAATACAGGAATCTCAAAGGAACTGACTATCCACATTTATAAAGGTAAGTGACACCCAGAAATTAGCACCTATATATTTATCAACAAAAAGGTGAGACTTTGCTGGTTATTGGATGAAATTTTCATGCAGAATTATAAGACTAGGTTGAAAATCAGAGAAAGAAATTAAAGCAGAGGAGCTGATTTGATGTTTTGGAAAGGACTGGACAGGAGCAGCACTGAGGACTTTACCTTTTGCTATAGAGTGTCTGACTTGCCCATGTGGTAAAGAGGGGTTCTTTTGGCATAGCAAGCCATATAAGTCACCCTGTGTTTTACAATCTTGGGCGGGGGATGAGAAGAACAGGTGGAAATAGTGGTGACAGAAATTAAGTTCCTAGATTCCCATATGCTCCTAGATAGGTTAAGCCCTTAAACACTAGTCATTAGCATAAAAATCTTGATTTCTAAATATATTACCCACTAATAGGGCCCAAGGCTCCCTTGGAGAAATGAGAATTTCAGGAAAAGGCAAGGAAAGTACAAGATGAGCCTGAACACCCCATTATGCCAGAAAATAAGGTGCTCAGAGAATGTAGGGTACATGTCAAAAGACATAGGATCTAGTATCAAAGGTCTCCCTCTTCTCAAATCTTAGACAACTTAAGCATCAAAATAATAATGAGGGCTGGGATGGTAAAGCACTTGGCTACCATGTGTGAGGCCCTGGGTTCAATCCCCTGTGGGGGGTGGGGAGGTGTCAGTGTTAAAATAATAATAATGRTAGGAACAGATTACATAAAAAGAGAATCCATGTTATATAAAATCCATGCTCTCTCTATTAAACAAGAATCCATGACTCCACATAGGTATAATGAAGAGAAAAAAGACAAAGCTGTTCCTTATAGTAGAATGCTAATTAACTAACATGGGAGAAATAATGGCATTAGAAAGCCATGATTTTGTAATCAGCATGGAAATAGTTTAGTCAAGAATCAAAGTATACTAAAACAAGTGGACAAAATGTTGATGAGAAGGCAMGATATTTACATAGTCTCAAGTGTCTCCTCAGAAATTATTACAAATGTTAAAATAGTAAGCATGTAGCAGAAAAAAATTGGAAGATACCACCTTAGTCAAGTGATCCAATTTCTCACCAGTAACAGGACAGACATCCTGTGCTTTATGAGAGAACACAATATCCAGTGGTATGATAATCTAACCATGAGGAAAATCAGACAAACCCAAATGGAGGAACATTACAAAACAAATGACCTGTACTCTTCAAAAATGCCAGTTTAAAAAAAAAAAAAGGCTAAGGAAATGTTCATATTAAAAGATACTACCAAACCAACAAACCATGTATAGTTCTATGTTGGATCCTGACCCAGAGTGTGACAAGGAAGAGCTGTAAATAACTGGCAGTTTCATGAAGGCCTGCAGATTAGATGACAGCACTGTCTCAATGTAATACTTACAGATTTTAGTATTGTACTATGTTTATATAAAACAATGTTCTGATACTTAGGAACTACACTCTAAAATATCAAAAGAGTAAAGAGGCATTATACCAGCAACTCATTATCAGATGGTTCAGGAGAAAATATATATACAAAGAAAATAAATGAAAAGCAAAAAGGGCAAAGAATTAATAATTGGTAAAATTAGGTAAAAATATATGGAAATTCTTTGTACTATTATTTGCTAGTTTGAAACAATATCAAAATATTTGTTGAATGGTGATTGGGCAAAGTCTCAGACTAGGAGTAGAAGGACAAAGGTTTTATGGCAAACTGATGATTAAAACTTACTAAAATTATGTATAGCCTTCATTTTGTTCTTTTTTGTAAAAGTCTTCATTTTTAAGGTTAAAAAAATAACTCTTTCATTTGTGAAAATCAGTAACATTTACCTTTTCCTCTCTTCCTTTATTCTGTTCTTTCTTTTCACGACAACGAACTGCTTTCCCTCTATCATTGTGAAGATTTTGTGCAGATGGACGGTGAACTCTGACAGTTGTATTTGGGCGGTTACCATGTGGTTTCGGGTCACCATACTGAGGAGACTGGCGTTTTCTAGGTCCTGGTGAGGGTCTAATCAAACAAAATCATTAAAATCATCATCTCCTAGAGTTGGTCCAAATATGAACAAAGAATGTAAGTTAGATTCATGAAGTAAAAAAGCCAAGGCAAAAACTGAACACCAAGACAGGACTGAAGAAATCTCAGGATGTTGAAAACTAAAACCTGAAGTTTCAATCTGATACAGCTGCTGTGGTGATTTAATGAGACAAAAGCAGTCCAGTTATATTATAGAAATAATGATGGGGAAAGTAATGGGCATCTCTACTTAAAAAGGACATTGCTATACATAAAATATGATTAAAAATTAGGCTGAGTGCTGGAAACTGAAAAAAGAGCAATTATCAGAGAAGAAAGTTTTATTCAAAAAAAGAAAATAGCACAAATATTGAATTTACATTTATCCACTGGTATATATGCAATTTGTGTCATTTTATTTAAAATAATTGTCATGTTTAATTAATAAAGTTTTAATCATATTCCCATTTTAAAATACTGGTATAAGCACTAGCTGTGGACAGTTACAGAACTCATGTATGTTTACATCCATCACCTTTATTTCTGTGTCAGAATTTGGACCTGAAATATTTGTTAGGCTCCTACTAAGATCCTAGATTTCACGAGGGCCATTAAAAGGGGGCAAAAAATAAAAAAGGAAGGGGATCCTATCCTCAAATACCTCAGAGCATATTTCAAACAAAAGAAGATATTTAAGTCTAGGCAAATCTACCAGATGTGAAACAAACCCAGTGCCAAAGGAATGGGAACGGCCTCATGATGACAGAAAACAACCTGGGCCTGTAAACACAGGACTTGAACTAGATAGACTAGAGGGAACAACTGCAGACAAGCAAAGAAATAAAAATGAACTCAATCAATGTAAAGGGCTACAAAGAGACAAGCATGACAGGTAACAGTGTGGATTAAGAGATGGTATTATAGGTAAGGTGGTTTTTTAAGAAGAAGGTCTTGAGGGGCTGGGGATGTGGCTCAAGCAGTAGCGCGCTCGCCTGGCATGCATGCGGCCCAGGTTCAATCCTCAGCACCACATACCAACAAAGATGTTGTGTCCGCCGAAAACTAAAAAATAAACATTAAAATTCTCTCTTAAAAAAAAAAAAAAGAAGAAGAAATTCTGAACTAGTTCAAGACTAATCCTTCTAAAACACTTGCAGTGGATTCACCCAACTGCCAACAAGAAGTCACTGAAAAGGTTCAGTTTTAGAAGGTTAGACTAATACTGAAAAAGAAGTACTGATAAAATGCAAAGTGCAGGGAGATGTTTGTAGGTTACAGATGTTAAAAAGACATGAGGGCCTAGYTTAAGGTAGTGGCAGGGAGAGGAGCCTGAGAGATGGCTGAGAAAACAAGCCATCAAATATCCGAGCAGAAGTAAAGGAAAGTGAAAGCACTGAAGCATTCATGTATGTGGCTTGTTTAAGGAAGAAAATGAAAACACAGGCTGACTCATCTATTCTTATTTCTACTTGTGAAATTAAAATAAAAAAGTGGAAAAAAGGTTTACTCACAGACATTCACTGCAACTTTATTTATAATAATGAAAAAAGGGAAAACAAGCAATCTGCACATGGTTCACTATGCAGGTTACATCCACTCAGAAGAGTAGCAAACAACCTTTAAAAAGAGGCAGATAAGGGCTGGGGTCGAGGCCGAATGACAGAGTGTTTGTCAAACACATGTGAGGCACTGGGTTCGACCTTCAGCATTACATAAAAATAAACAAATAAAACAAAGGCATACTGTCCATCTACAACTACAAAAAAATTTTTTAAAAAAGTTTGACATTGCTTGTAAATCACCAATGCTTACCTATGACAAATAAATCATTTAATGTATCTAAGATTAAGTTTCTTCATCAGCAATTTATGTAAAGCAATTAATGCAGTGCCTGGCACATAGTAAATATATAGTGATTGTTGTCTATTAACTTTTCCTTAAGAAGGTACAATGTTGCTGGGTGTGGTGGTGCACAGCTGTAATCCCAGACCCTCCAGAGGCTGAGGCAGGAGGATCACAAGGTCAAAGCCCTAAGCAATTTAGTGAGGACCTAAGCAATTTAGTGAGACCCTGTCTCTAATATATTTTTTTAAAAGGCTGGGATGTGGCTCAGTGGTTTAGTGCCTGGCTTCAATCACCATACCAAAATAAACAAATTTAAAAAGGTACAATGTTGTGAATTATGGATGTTACAATTACTATTATGAAAATAAACAATGCATAAAAAAAGAAATAAGCTAGAATGACTGGTTTCTCACTAATTCTATGAATCTTCCTATTTTTCTTTAATCCCACTGTACTTTTTAAAAATTATAAAAGGTAACAGAAAATATAATTTAAATGAAATTGCTTATGAGCAAGGGAAAAGATAGTACATATTCAAAAGATATAAGGAGTCAATAACAGTATTAATACTTTTAACAGAAACTTAAATAGCTAGAATAAATATCCATTAATTGAACTTAAGTACAGGCATATTTTGGTATGGAAATTCTCAAAGTGTGACCCATGGACCTGCTGTATCAGAATCACCTACACTGAGGCTGGGGTTGTGGCTCAAGCAGTAGCRAGCTTCCCTGGCATGGGTGCAGCCCGGGTTCRATCCTCAGCACCATATACAAAGATGTTGTGTCTCCAAAAACTAAAATGTAAATAAAATATTTTTTAAAAAAAGATTACAGATCAGGGCTGAGAATATAGCTTAGTCAGTAGAGTGCTTATTTAAAAAAAAAAAAAAAAAAGAATCACCTACACTTTCCTGGGTCTCACCTGCTATTACATATCAGACTCTCTGTCAGTGATGCCCCCCAAATCCACATTTTTAATAACTGCCCTCCAGAGACTATCATGTATGCTAGTTTGAGAAGGGCTATTATGGTAGAATGCCAGCTGTGAAACCATTATTATAAAATGTAATATATCTGGGCTCTAATGCTAGATTCACCAGTTATTAGCTTTATGATATTGGGGAAAAGTTACCTAACCTTGCTGTAGCTCAGTTTTCTCCTGAATTATAGGGAATACATGACTCATTTGGAAGGTTAATTGTGAGAAATAAATAACACAAGAAGCAGCCTAACACAGTACTCAAGAATATTGTGGATACTCAATATCCAGCACCTATTATTACAAAATACAATCAAAACTTAAAAGTTACAATAAYAGACTGTTCAAACTGAAAACCATCTAAGCCATGCCCTAAATGCAATGTTCTCAAGCCAGTTGGTTAGGGTGCAATCCAACTGTATATTGGGAATCACAGTTTTCCTTCCAGAAAGCCATCACACACTCATACATTTAAATCCACAATACAAATTAGGAAATTTATTGTGTATGTGAAATAGAACTGACATTTACCTGCACATTGTAGAGCACTTGCCTAGCATGTGTGAGGCACTRGGTTCAATCCTCAGCACCACATAAAAATAAATAAGTAAAATAAAGGTTAAAAAAAAGTTCAGGGAAATAATCTATACCTTTTTCCAGACCTAATCATTAAAACAAAACAAAAACAAACAAACAAACAAACAAACAAAAACAGGCAGTGAAACTAAGCATGACTGGCTATTGAGAACATTTTAGTAACTATCAATTTCATTAATCGTTCATTTGCAGGCACTTGGTCATAGGAAACTGGGGGGGGGAAATACCAGAGGAAACTGTTAAAACTGAGCCCATTTATCTTTTATTTTTCCTCCATGAATTAAAAAAGCCACATTTTGCCAAGCGCGGTGGCACATGCTACACATGCTTATAATCCCAATGACTTGTGAGGCTGAGGCAAGAGGATCCCAAGTTCAAGGATGGCCTGGGCAACTCAGGGAGACCCTGTCTCAAAATAAAATAGAAAGGGCTGGAGATGTAGTTCAGTGGTAAAGTGCCCCTGAATTCAATCCCCAATATACAGCTAAAGAAGAAGGGAAAAAAAACCATTTTTCAATTTTAGCCGTACAACTGAATAGCAGTAGTCAAAGAGCTTGTTTGAAAAACACGGTTATATAACCTGCTCCCTCACCTAAGAAAAACCTGAGGGTTGGAAAAGTTCTATCATTTTTCCAAAGCCAGAGATGGTAGCAAAGACAGAAACAGAGCTCAGATATTTCTTCCAGCCCTATTTTCCTTCCTTAAGATAACACTGTCTCCACTAAAGTTCAGCTCATTCACAAAGACTTTTTGTGTTTTTTTGTTTTGGTACCAGGGATTGAACCCAGAGGCCCTTAACCATGGAGCCACATTCCTGGTCCTTTTTACTTTTTATTGAGACAGGGCTCCACTAAGTTGCTTAGGCCCTTACTAAGTTGCTGAGTCTGCTTTGAACTTGTGATCACTATGCCTCACCCTATCTGCTGGGATTAAGGCATGTGCTACCTTTCCTGGCCACGAACACATATTTTTGACTTATTTCCACCAAAATGTTAATTCTTGAAATAGGTCATAGAGTCACAAGGTACATAATTCAATAATTATAAAAGGACATTTCAGAATGAGGGACATTCTGTCTGTCAGCCACCAGTCTTCCTTTTAGATATGACAAATACTCTCAGCTTTTTTGACTAAYTGGTTTCTTTCCTTTTTTTGCAGTATTAAGAATTGAATTCAAGGGTGCTTGATCACCGAGTTACATAGCTAGTCCTTTTAAAATTTTTTGTTTTGAGGTGCAGGGGTTTTGGCTCAGCGGCAGAGTGCTCACCTACCACATGTGGGACCCTGGGTTCAATCCTCAGCACCACATAAAAATGAATGAATGGAATAAAAATATACCAACTACAACTGTTGCCCAACTACAACTGAAAAATAAATAATAATTTTTGTTTTGAGACAGGGTCTTGATAACTTGTTTCCTGCCTTAGCTTCTTGATATGCCAGGATTATAGGTATGTACCACCACACCCAACTAACTGGTTTCCTAAAAGGTCTCCACTTACCTTCTTTCGACAGGTACGGGCAAGGACCAAACTTCTCCCTCAGAAGCYGGAAGCTCATGTTGTGCAGCTTTCAAGGGAGTGCTGTCTAGTTTAAAGCTCTCTAGTGTTTTCATGATATCCTTCACATGCTTAGCTTCCACATTTATTTCCTGCCAAACCTAGTTTCAAAGAATAACATGTGTTTTAAATTTCTGTAACTAATAAATTATTGCCAAGATTAAAAAGGGCCATTTATTAGAAATAATAGAAACCTTCATTTTGATATCAGACATCCAATAAAGCACACTCACATATTCTGTCAAAATTTTAATAATGGTTCCTTAATTCTGTTTTCAATGGCAAAATTAATTCTGATAAAATGTATTATATATCCTGGGTAAACTGTTACTAATTTACAGTTCTTATTCCAATTGAAAAAATTCCAATTTTAAAATGTAACAAATTGAAAAGTTAACTAATTTTGACATTTGACAAAAATAAAACATTTGCAAGTTGTCCTTTGATAGTTTTTATACCATTTAATTAGCTTTTAAAATCATGAACAAAATCCACTAATTCCATAGCTCTACAATGGATTCAATATGAATTAGAAAGTAATAATTTTTGATTATTAAAATTCATATCAATATGCAATCAAAAACAGTGTCTCAATTTACATACAACCAAAGTATTTTTATTTTTTTTTTAGTTGCATATAGACACAGAATCTTTATCTATTTAATTTTATGTGGTGCTGAGGATCCAACCTAGTGCCTCACACATGTTAGGCAAGCGCTCTACCACTGAGCTATAAGCCCAGCCCCCAAACAAAGGTATTTTTAAAAGGCAGTCTTGACTCAGTTTAAAAGCTATAAATGGTAATGATTGCACATTATTAATGTATTAATTATTACTGAACTATACATCTTAAATGGTTTAGTTGGTCAATTTTAAAATGAAAAAAAAAAAACACTATATATTTATTGGGGGCAGTATAGGTACTGAAATGAAGGTTAGATAAAGCACCCTTGGGTTCAATCCCCAAACCCCAAACCAAACCAAACCAAACAAACAAACAAACAAAAAAACTTCAATGATTTAACTGTAAGTGTCTTTACACAAATCTTAGCTTTTCAAGAATATGTCTCTGGCCTAACAACAAAAAGCCTAAAGAGTCTTTCAGTAACAAACTTTAAGATTTTTTTTTTGTTGTTGTTATCTTCGATTGAACCCAGGGGTGCTAAACCACTGAGCCATATCCCCAGCCATTTTTTTTTTTTTTTTTGAGACAGGGTCTTATTAAGCTTATTAGGATCTCGCTATATTGCTGAGGTTGGCCTTGAATTTGCAATCCTCTCGCCTCAGTCTCTCAAGTTGCTGGGATTATAGGTGTGCACCACCTGCACAAACTGAAGACTATTTATGAAATAAAAACATTTTCCCCTTTTGGCAATGTAAAGGATATGGAACAGCAGGATGAGGAAGAAGTTCAAAGGATAGAATACTTTCCCTAAGAAAACAAAGACAAATATGGCATAATATTTAAAAAGAAGTTAGGGAATAATATTCCACCGAGAAGATCAGCTCAAAAAGACCACTAGTTTTTGAAGCATTACTCCTTTTGTGACAGGTGAACCTTGCTACAAATATCATCCTCAACTGAACTTATAAGTTCTATAAATTTCTGTTGGTGCTTAGTAGTTAAAGTTCCTCAAATGGGTGGGCTGGGGTTGTAGCTCAATGGTAGAGCACTTACCTAGMATGTGTGAGGCAATGGGTTTGATTCTTAGCACCGCATATAAATAAATAAAATAAAGGTACATCAATAACTAAAATTAATTTTTAAAAAAAGTTCCTCAAATGAGATATAAATATGATCTGCTTTGTTAAAGTTCTATAGGGAATATGGTACCTAAAGGAGATTCAAGCATCAACTGCAGTTTCAACAATAGCTTAATAAAGTCAACTTTAATTTAAGTAAAAATCTAATCTAAAAAATTACTTTTTAAAAATCAAAACAATTACTTTCTAAAACTTCTAAACTAAAATGTATTATATTACAACAATCAGAATAATTAGAGCTCATAATACTTTGAAAGTAAAAGAGGATTATTACTAATATAATAAAAATTTTCAAGTAATATTACATACAAATATTATATATAAACCATACACTCCTACAGTGCTAGGGATCAAACCCAGGGCATTGCATGTGCTAGGCAAGTGCTCTACATAAACCATATATACTTAATATGTAACTTTATATAGCACTGATGATTAGATCTAAATTTTCCCTTCTATGTACACAGTCATTAAAACATACAGCAGTCATGATCCTCACCTGTTGCCATTTCTGCTGAAGGTATGTGTCTTTGACTGAGTATAGATACTTGTTCATTTGGTCAAGAACTCCCTGATAATAAACCATTGCAGAGTCGTAGTTTCCCAGCAATGCATATTCACGAGCCAGTTTTACATTCTCACTAATCATAAGAAGACTCATGCTCAACTGTAAGCTATAAAAAAGAAAAAAAAATTTCATTATACATGTCTCTTAAAAATAAGTACCACAAAGAGTTTTTAAAATTATAGTTTCTGGAGTTTATTCAAGAAGCTTACACATATGGTACTTTTTCATTCTTATACATTTGCTCATACATTTTTATTCTTTAAAAAAACATTAGTTCTGACATCCAAACCCTACACTCTACCTATGTGCCACAGCCCAGTTGAGACGGACATTCTCTCAGTTGTCTACTTCCCAATTCCTCTGTTCAAAATAAATGTCTCCTTTTCCAAAGTCCACTGGAACTTCACAGGGACTTTCATCTCAAAGCATTTGTCTATAGTTACTCTATATGTCTTATCTCTACTAAACTGAGTTCATGATTTTTTTTCCTCAATACTGGGGATTGAACCCAGAGACACTCTACCTCTGAGCTTTTTATTTAAAAAGCTTTTTACTTAATTTTGAGAAAGGGACTCACTAAGTTGCCCAAGCTGGCCTAGAATTTGCAATCATCCTGTATTAGCCTCCCAGAGTCACTAGGATTACAGGCATGTGCCACCATGCCCAGCCTAAACTAAATTCTTTTTTTTTTTTCATTGTGAAAAAGTCTTTATTTTAAGAAAAAAAWTTATTTTCAAAAAATTTAGGGAACTCTCTCGCCCTCAATAGGGCTCCMGGAGAACTCAAAAATAGCGGGGGAGGAAGCAGGAGCTGCCCCATTGCCCTACAGCAGGGGTCTATATACAACTGAATACACAGCCTGTTTCAATCCAGCATCATCCAGTCACAGCAATTATCCACAGCTTAATTTAATTATCATCATCTTAATGGCTCCCTGGTGTCACCTCTCAACCATTCCTTCAGGCGCTATCCCCGACTGGGCTGTGGCTCTGAAAGAAATACACCCAAAAGGAAATCACAATACAAAGAAAGCTTTAAGTTAAGGCCTCACCAATTCCTACAGTATTAGTATTGTGTATCAATTCTCAAAACTAACTTTAAAAAGCTTAATCTTAACCTAAAAATTTTAAATGAAGAAGAAAAAGAAATAGAACAAACAAACATGAGAAATGTTTCTCTTTGAATTAGGGATCTAGCACCTTTGAGTTCTCCAAAAAAGTAAACTCCCCAATGTGTTCACTGTGGTGTTGTGTAAAAGATCCACATTTTAACATACTTAAAATTACTTTAACTCATTTAACATCACTCTGAAGTATACTACCAAAATGTTAATCAAGAAAAGCGGAAGAAAATAGTTTTTAGTTTACT